GAGAGAAGAGAGAGAGAGAGAGAGAGAGAGAGAGAGGGGGGGGGGGGGGGGAAGGAGAAGGAAGAGGGAGAGAGAGGGGGGGGAGAAGGGGGGGGAGGGAGGAAGGAGATGGAAGAGGGGGGAGAGAGAGGGGGTGGAGGGGAGGGGAGGAAGGAGGAAGGAGATAGAAGGGGGAGAGGGAAAGCGAGAGAAAGGGTGAGTGAGAAGAAGAGAGAGTAAGAAAGTGAAGAACACAGAGTCTTATCATTTCACTCAATCCAGAAATGGACCAGGGGTTAAAATACTTATTGAAATATTGCAAAATTAACAACACTTCCAAGGAAAATGCAAATCATGAAGTATGTTTGATTTAACAATCTTGTTACTGTAATTTGCACCTTTTTCTCATGTTGATTATCATTCTTTCTTTGCATTTATCAAGCATTCCCTACCTTACTTATATTTTTTTACTATATATATAAATTTGTATTTATGCATACTAACTATTAATATAAATATGAGAATGTTAAGAGAGAAAGTGTGTGTATGTATGTGCGTGTGTGGTTGTAAGTGTAGGTGTGTGTAGGAGTAGGTATGTGTAGGTGTAGGTGTGGATGTATAGGTGTAGGTGTAGGTGTGTAGGTGGTGTGGGTGTTTAGGTATAGGTGTGGGTGTGGGTATGTAGGTGTAGGTGTAGGTGTAGACGTGGGTGTGTAGTTGTAGGTGTGGGTGTGGGTGCACATACGTGCATGTGCTATTTTGATGGTATATTGGTATGGTATGTATGTTGTGTATGCATGTACTAGTTTGTGTATGTGTATGGACATGATCAGGGCATACATATATACTCACAAAAACATATATATGTTAACAGGAATTTCAAATTCGCCAACATGTAAAACTGTATACAAAAGGTTTATATGAAAAATGTATAATTACATTATATATAATCTTCATCTTTAACATTATCATTCTAAGTGATATCTAACCTTACATTATCTATGAGAATCTTAATCACCATTATCATAAACCCAAGCCCTAAATAACACTTACTTACACAGATACGTCTTTTTTGCAGCCATTCCCTCAACTCAGACTCACATAATAGAGGCATTACCCATCCCTTTGCTACTGCTGACAACACTGCCATCCAAATGAATTGTTAAAACTGCATTATATCCATCTTCAATAACTTGGCCAGCCATCCTTAGATTTATTTAGAACAGAATTGTGGAAATAAAGCACTGCGAAAAATCAATAGAAACGGAGAAATTAATGGAAAGCCGATCACTAGGAGATAAAAATGCAAAAGCAAAATAAGAGTAATGCTTTACCTTGTCTGAGGTTTCATTTATATAAGACATAAGGGGGTAGGGGGGAAGGGGTGGAGGATATCATTACCAGATGCTATTTAGTAAAAGTATAATCCCTACCTAATACACAAACAAAACTTTCAACTTTCCACATTAAAATAAAGGTGACATTACATGCAGTAAAACAAAATATGATCACCAATAATGTTATAATTCTAGACTCAATAGTTGACATGTAAGGGTTACACAGCACATGGAAGTACTGAAAACTCTCAAGTTAACTTAAGGATAGAGTGAAGACTGAGTGTGTGAGGGTAGATGAGTAACTGTGGGTGAGTGAGTGAGTGAGTGAAAGAGTGAGTGAGTCGATGTTTATATACTGAGGAGAGGGAAGGTTGTGCAAAAAAGACTGCTCAAACAGAGATATCGAGATCTAGTGATACGGTGCTCTCAAATCAGGTTACACTATCTGGCTCTGTTAAAGAACTGGTTATACAGTAATCAGGAGTGACTTAACAAGAACACAGAATTCCTAATCTTCAAACTGATGAAAAATGGAAAAATTAAAATGATTGTGAATAAATAATGATAATGAAGCAGATGGTAGGTATACTGATGAAAAAAAAAATCATATTTACTATCAATTTAGTATTACTATCATCATCTATTTTACCTATTTTATAATCTTAACTATCATTATTATTACTAATATTTAGCAACATTCCTTTCTTCAGCATAAGCTAATACAAAACAGAAACAGATTTAGGAAAAATACAGGAATGTAAAAACTAACAGCTGTCATGACAAAATGCTTTCAGCAGGTGGCAAAAGATGAAGAGCAATCTTACTACAAGTGTAAAAAAAAATCAGAGTTGGGAAGTACTGCCAGCCCTTCAAGACTTTAAAAATGTCCTTCAATGATCAATTTGTATCAAAAAATTTATATATAATACGGAGTTGCAACCACCAAGAAAACGGCATGAAAATTACCGGTGTTGCCTCTGGTAATCTTTTTTTAAAAATGGCAAAAGACAGAAAGGCGTGCTTGATAGTACTGCTAGTATATCTTTTAACAGTACTTACAGTTTCTTTATTACCGTTTTGGGAACAAGTGCCATGAGAGGCACTACCAGTGATGATGGGAGTAATTTTTCCGTTGAGTTGTCATCCTCAGATATTTTGGAACATATGGAGGATAATTTTGAAGTCTCAAGAGTACTGGCATCATTCCACAGCTCTGGTAAACTCACTACTATATAACAGTCAGGATCCTCATTCCTGTAACATTAAATTTGCTTTGAGATCAAGATACACAAAGGACACAACCCACAACTTATGTCACACCACACGCTCCCGAGAGAAATCACTCTTGGATTGTTTTTCAAAAACGACCATATGAAAAGTTATCCTAAGGCCTGATTCCCAGGTATGGTTCTTTTTTAAAAATAGTGGTCAATAAATGAATTAATAAAAACAAAACCAAAAAAATACAAATTCATTTCCATGCATATTGCAGCAGGATTCGGCACAAATTACAAATTTTAGGAACATTAATTTTAAGTAGATAATTCCCACTTTCAAAGAATGAAAAAAGAAAAGAAAAGCTATACATGAAGAAAAAAAAAGTCTTGGCACTATCAATATCCACTTAATACATTAATTTATCATATTCTGAATCACATTCATACGCAAGACTCATGACTTGGGTCATGTGAAACTATAAACTTTCAAAAAATTATCTCTGCTTGTTTGACCAATGACAGTATGCAAGAAATTAAACATGAAAATATTAATATCAAATGAACAGTTATCGAATGTGTTGATGAATATCAACCATTGGTTAAATACCTGAAATGCAAATATCAGAAATTTATAATATATATCTTAGTACAGCAAAAGCTATATAATATCAGCTTAATGTTCAAACGACAACAGTGAATCACCATACAATGAACCATTTATTTGCTTCTCTAAATACACTGCCAGGGACGTAATTTTGTGAAATACACATTAATTGGCACTTTAAGTTTCTTGCTTTACATATTTCTTCTCTAAATGCACATACAAAGTTCTAAGCATTAACTAACAACCTGGTTTTGACTAGCATGCAGCTTTCTCACATCCCACACTTACATTACTTTCACAAACTTATTCTCATTCAGACAATGTATTCGAACAGATGCATACACACAAAGACAGAAAAGCAGACAGATACACATACACATCCACCCACGCCACATGCATGCGCACGCCGCACATGCACCACAAAACTTATTAAAGCATAGAAATACATCAGATCATTTCTGATGGTCTAATGACTATTACGAATCATTTAAAGTAGAAAATGCATACACATCATGTCATGCTTCTAGCAGCAGACAGTTATATGAGTATATGCACATGATGGTCAACACCATGCACGTTAAATTACCACAACATAACGTTGGAAACGCCCGCAAAAAACGCTAGGAAATAGATAAGTTTTCTTAAATACTCCTCTATGCCACATATAAACCATCTAGTTCTCCATATCATTACGTAGTGGATGATACTATGGCAAGAACGGCATTTTTAGTATCTGTCTGCATTTAAACAACTGTGATATATGACATGTTGGACATTATTGCAGCAAACTAAAACCGTACATTACACAAGATCCCTAAACTTAAATTTGTAATTGATAGATATGAAAGATAATAACAAAGATCGATAATGTGAAAGAATGAACAAGCATGAAAATTCGCTTTAAAAGAAACAATGAAAAGATCAAGTAAAATGAAAAAAAACTGCGTATTAATCCTTCGCTTTTGTTTAAATGCTTGCTGCGCTTCAGTCACAATTACTGCACCACAATTATATTTGTGCATATCTTTTTGAGAAAGTTACAACCTAAACCAAAACTAAATACTTTCTACAGAAGTAAAAAAAGTCATACATAAGAAAATAAACAATTCTAAAAAAGTTCTCCTTACCAAAAATGTTTGAATACAACAACCATTGGCACATGTTATTTATGGGTTAGAATGCCAGAACAAGCAATGGAAAGAGCCATGGAAGAGGAAATTAAGTAGGCTCATCAAAGATAGCACACTGAGGAAATAAAAAGATGGGAAAAATATTTACGCGAATATCTTTGAAGCCATGTAATAAATTTCATCGATTTGATACATTTTGAGAATTGGTAATGAAGTTCACTTGCTGCTGGCGTAAAAATAAAATAGATACCAATTATGAAACAACGCAATAAAAAAAGCGATTAACCGATAAATACCACTGGGGGAAAGAACTTCCACAACAAAGGCACACGCTTCTTAATCATCATAAAAGACAGCAGCATTCATAATTGTCAATTATGGGAAAATCTCTCTGTTAATCATGGGAGAATGTTTGTTACATATTTAGTTTCTGTTTATTCATTATGGATAGTTATATAGTTTTCATTTTTTTTTTCTTAAAGTAAAATAAATTTACACTAATTTGATTTATTGGAAGACATTACAGAAGCAAAGTGAGGGCTAACATAATAGAATTTGAAGTAAGGATTAAGAGCCTTAAATATTAGTCTTATATAGACCCTTACTTTTACTAATTCACTGGTTGCTCATGTGCCGTTTTTAACTGAGGAAGAGCTTTAATGTTGTTACATAAATACTTAAACTAGTCTTATTAAGAGAATCATAACAAAAAAAGTCTTTAAAATCAACTGTT